TAGTAGCACAATGTCGTCTGTATACTCTAGATCAGACAGTCTGCCACCCGAAAGTAAATTGATACCGCTATCCCTGCACGAGGATAGGGCTGTTTCAAGAATTAAATCTATGACAAAGTTAAATAGAAAAGGAGAGAGAGGGCAACCCACTTTCCGTAGTGAACTCGGGTGAAAAAGTGTCGTGAGCTCGGACTCGGCTTCGGCTATGAGTATAGAGGGATTGTAATATTGAAATAATCTGGACAGCCTAGTGCGGACTAATGCGCGGTCGCATTCACAGACTGTGTTTTAGAATGATCGACAACATTGCATGCCATCCAACCGTTTGTGTATTCGGTTAGACTGTGAAGCTACTCCTAGGAGGACGCTGGAAACCGATAATTTCCAGCAGAGAAGGGGTATATATATATATATATATATATATATTGCGAAGTTTGCATGTTCACACTGAACCCAATCGGGATCCCACGTCGTCGCACATAAATCTAAACGATTTGATTGGTTACCCTGTCAACGGTCACGTGCACCCTTGGGTTGTGAATAGGTAATGCCTACGGTACAAATTTAGGAGTCCTCGATTCGATTGGCGATGCATATGCAAAAACGTGCATATGTCACATACGGAGCGACCTTGGCTGATTCAACACGACCAAATTTTGCCTCGCTTATAGTGCACGAAATAATATGATTATCCAGCATCACTAAGATTTTAACAAATACCTGAAAGCTAGCCCGATTCGTGTGTGCTTTGTGTGACGCTTGTGATGGATTTGGAAAGTATTTCCTCAATTGGATTTACGGATCGAATTTCGACTCGCTTCTTATGCACAAACCAGCGTTGCCCACATGATATGTCGACCGCCACCATAATCGTACTCAGTAACGGGCTAAATCTGCGCCACACCAGCGAGATTTTGTTTCATAATGCTATTCTGCCACATTCCCGAGATTTGACCACCGCGTATTGACAGTCTTTGATTGACGATGAGGTATTTTCCTCCATTCGCAAATCAACTGTGTAAGTCGTTTTACCCGATAATCTTCCGCGGCCGGGTAATAATTTGAGCTGTCCGATCGCCGTGAAGCACAAATCCGATGAAACTCGGAAGAGCGAAATCCTCATCGTGTAGAACTATCAGGAGCATATTTAATTCGTGTGATGATACGTTTATGCACAATATAACTTCGGAGTGAGGACGTCCGGTTCCCAACCGCGCGAAAGTTCACCTCAGGTGGTGACGCAATGAACACACACACACCGCCAGTGAGTCCAAACCAGAACGGGACATCTGTCCAGGGATTTTTGTTGGCTTTCTCACAAATTCGTTCACAACTATTGTTTGTATGCTAAGATTTCGTTGATTGCCACTCGAAACGCCACTTCCATCTCACTCCATACATTGTTTTCTTGACTTGGGACACGGTACAACAATTCATGTTACCTTGCACTTGCCGTGTGATTAACCATATACAGACACTACCCAAACGCTATATGCTCCATGTCGTTGATCTGACATTGTCGATGAAGTTGCTCATCATCAAAACAAAAAGAAACTAATATACACCGGGTTCAAATCTGACGAATCCGATAGCGCTAAAGATAGCTACCAAAATTTGTTGCTCATCATTTAAGTAAGTAGAAACGTATTTCTCCAACTGACTTGATTTGCTCAAAGATAGCAAACTATGAGATGAAGGAACCAAACAAGTAGCTGCTCTGCTGGACTATAAAACTGTCGTGTTGCACAAATGTTTCACCAATTTTCTGGCCTCGTGTGTATTTCACTCATCCAAATTAGTTCACATCGATTCAATTGACCTGATTGCTGGATACCACCGTATGCATGCCTACAAATTTGTGACACCGGTATCGAACCCTTTGAAACAAGCTTCATCGCTCTCTACGCTTCATGTTCTCGCATTATCTATTATGAGCAATTAACTATTGAGCGCTTGCGTCAGCTGTGAAGGATAAACGCACAACAGGTATGAATGATCTATGGATACGAGATGCCAAGTATTGTCCTCTCTCTTTCTCTGCGTAATTAAAGCGGAGCCTTTTCGATCGAGATCTCGTGCATGTCTAGGTTGATCTCAAGCCGCAGTGATCACGTTACATTTATAACACTTAGTCTTTAATAATTTGTTGGATTTTTTTTTACAGAAGTCACGTATCTAACTGGGCCTTTTTCAATGCGTGTGTAGATAAAAAATCATATTACTCCATTTGCCTCCATGGTTGGAAAAATACATGACATTTATCTTTTCAGTCGGATCGATATGGTGATTGTAACCAACTATTCTTAGGGTTACAGTGCTCCACAATGTCCTGTGCGTAAAACTCGTTACTACCATCCAAATTCGTTGGAGTAGACCACATCACCCCTATCCCAATGTGTTTTTCGTGTAGTGCAACATTCTCGGCGAATTAAGTTGTCGGTTTCCAACACAGAAAGCTAGGGGTTCTCTCGAATGTGAGCTAGTTGCGTTTCTTTGACTGTTCATCACACTATGATGTGTGCGATGCAAACCCGAGATATCCGGCTTCGTTTTCACAGCTCAGACCAGTAGACCACCAATAATGCGTAGGCATTCTGTTTCTCGTCGTCGTTCACTTGTGGTGTCATGATTCCTTCCCTATCGGGTCGTTTGTAAAGTGAAAGCAGAAGACGTGTTGATTCAATATACTTCAATCGTTAACACACTACAAAATAACAGTATGAATAATAACTAAATAAGTATTTGCATTTGGCGTGAATTACTAGTTGTCCTTGTCCGTAATAATATTAACAACAGAACGATTGTTTTAGGCACACGTATTATCAATAACTAAAATGGCAATAGTAAATCAAATGTTGAGGCAGGAAAGATAACAAGAGAATGTAGTTAAGTTCTCACCGCACAGATGGTTTCGGTCACGCCGTAGACTGTCCCCTTCTTTTCAGGGCTCGGTCCGCCGAGTCACTTCGAAACCACCCTCTGCCAGTACTTCAACTTCGCATTCTACAAGTTATCTGTCTGACGATCTTACCTGATACAAGTCGCTGGTGCAACGTTTTAGGTGGTTAATGTGGGCCATAATCAACTGTTATTGGTCCGGTGATAGTCCGCAAATTGCACAGTTAGTTTCGTTGATTAGGCGTTCGATCACGCAAAGTCCTTTCCAGGGCCTGTTAAACTTTGTTTTACTGGTAGTAAGTTCAATTATCTTTAGCCACACCTTGTCACCCGCGGCGAAATGGACGGCGTGTGCCTTTTTATACTTATAATCCTTTGGTCGCCTCTGAGCACTTGCAAGGTGTTCGCGTACCAGCAGCTCGGATCTCCGAATCGCCTCCCGTAGTTGAGCCACGTATTCCCTAGCGTTAGAACACATGTCACTTATAGATGGCAGCCCTAAATCGGATGGCAACCTCATTTCCCGACCCGTCCGTCGCAAGCTAGGCGTCTGTCCGCTAGACGCGTGCATCGAAGCGCGGTACGACAGGACCCAGCTTAACGTCCCAATCCCTTTCGTTCTCCACAAACGCCTTCAACAGGTTGATGAGCATCCGTCTCATCCGTTTGGTCTCGCCGTTACCTTGTGAGTAATGCGTTGTTGTACGGGTTTTGTCGATTACAAGCGACCTACACAACTCCTGGATTGAGGCATTTTCAAAATTCAAACCTTGGTCGGAATGTAGTTGACATGGGGCACCCCAACAATTGATCCATCTATCCGTGATGGCAGTGGCTACGGTTCGGGCATCCATCCGTTCGAGCTGGATGGCCTCACACTATTTTGTAAAGTAGTCGACCATGACCAACAGGAATCGATTTCCGCAGCCATTTTCCGCCAGGGGCCCGACTATGTCCATGCTGACAATATCATTCGGAAAGTCGGCCGTCATCGGCGTTAACGGGGCTCTTGTCGCGTGAAATGGGGTTTTGAATCGATCGTAATGGGTACAGTCACGGCAGAATTCTCGAACATCGTTCTTCATGTTTGGCCACCAGAATCTGCTTTGACATGCTTCGTCCATTTTCGTGACCTCAGTATGGCCTAACTCGGTGTGCAAACTGCGAAGAACCTCGTCTCTCTTTGTCCTTGGAACCACTTCTCGCTTTTTGTCGGAGAAGTCGTACATAAAGTACAGTACCGGACAGACGCCTAGCTTGCTATGGATGGGTCGAGAAATGAGGTTGTCATCCGAGTTAGGGCTGCCATCTATAAGTGACACGTGTTCTAACGCTAGGGAATACGTAGTGCAGTTTCACCTCGGAGTCGCATCTGACAGGAGCGCTTTGAAATTCACACATCACCACCAATTAAATATTTATTGCAAACTTCTTTCTGTGATGATCGGAATGTCGATAGCTACATCGAATTCAAACTATCCTGCATTTATCTGATTTGCTGATTCACATTGCGTTATTTTAATTTGCTCGTTCCCTTCCCTCTTGTTGCACACTTCGTTACTTTACCATAGGATAAGTACTTTGGTGATTAATGCAGGAAATCCAAGTTAGCTGTACGAGTAGATTCATCCATTCTGGCGTGCAATATGTATAATTCATCAGTGTTCCAATCCGCACCCGTTCTCACTCTTCTCCTGTCCTACCGCGTTGTTTCACCACGAACGGATCGTCTGTCCTTCCCAGCCGGATCATATCACCCCGGCCGGATGGATACCCCCGGAGTCCATCGCGTCTTGTCCCCAGGGTTCGGATAAGGCAAACGGTGCCGAGATCAATGCGAACACGGCCAACCCGTCTGACAGGCCTTTGTCCAATCTAACAAGTACGTACATTTTCCATCACGATTTGTTCTCTGCTGATCCGCGTATGACAGCTCTGCACCAACGAATAACTGTACTGACTGTTTTTTCCAAGACTTCGTTCGTTCGTGTTCTCCCATTCCATCATGAAAGTTATCCATCACTGTGAGTCACTCTGTTTACGGAACTAGAACAGATTGTGTGTGCTTGCAACGTTGTGCGATTGATTGGCCGAAAATTCATCCAGGGAGTTTTTTCGAAACATAGAGACAGTGGAATCATTTTTCACGAATTTTCGTGAATGATTTGTTTGAAGAATGGCCGACAACATTGACTTTAGTTGTCCGATGCTTAACATTCAGATCCATTTACCCGTGCCAAGTCCCTTGACACCCGCTTATCCCGAACAGTCGAATACACCACTCGTTGCTGTCCATTCGATTTTCATTTAACCCATGGTTATACTATAACAGACCAGTTTGCTCGCAAGATAACACACGATTCACAAAACAAATAGTGTAAGTAAACGAAAGTGACTTGTTAATGCAATTCATGATAGTCTGCCCAACAGATAAGGCGCACAAATTGATATCTAGATAATAATAATATCCAAGCCACCACGCTGTCTTCAGTGATCGGGTTTGATGTGACAGCAATGGGGATATGTCAATTTTTCTCTCTATTAATGCTAATCGTTATGGTTATCAGGTGTAGCAGTAATATGCAAACGGTGTATGGTTATCGTTTCACGGTTTTCCGATGAGGAGAATGAAAGCCTGATTTCTACAACTCGGACTATATCTTTAATTGATTAAATCTTAGAGGTGATTTTTTGTAATTCCCTCTCACAGAAACAGTTTCACAAACCGTTCTCCCTCGACATCATGCTATCTTTGATGCAACGATTCGTGTCTTTCGTAACCGAAGTGATGTATCAATCCACCCGTGCATCCAAACGGTTTATAGATAGTTAGCTCTGAACTCATACCCTCTTATTGCCATGTGGTGATTACGTCGTACCATGCCGTACCGTGCCTCGTACCTCCTCCCCCACTGCTCCAGCCAGTCTACTTTGATAGCTCGCTGTCATCTTTGTTAGGTAGTTTCAAGTTCAATCTCTCCCCATAACCGAACCTTATTGCGTAACTCGTTCCTCTCCTGATTCGTTTGAATGTACCTTCGTGTGGCATCATTGTGTGAGAGTGCGCCAGATTGATAGCCAATATCAATTTTTACATGGTAACGAAGCAGACTCCACTTTCTTTTTACTGATTCGGGACTGTTGGAGGAGTGATATTTGTTTGTACTCTCAGATTGTAGTTACACTATCCCAAAGGCCGTAGGTCACTTAATCTCCGGTCAACCGAGCTACACGCTACCAAGCACCTCGGTTGGTCGGCAGCGGTTTGTTTGTCCGCTTACTCCTTCTTCAAGGTTGTGTAGTCAATAAAACGAAGTAAGAGTAAAAAGAAAGCATATAGGACAAAGATTACTTGGGCGGTGAACCGTAACTAAGTGAGCTTCGCTCCTGTGTGTTGCGAATAATCAGCATGGCGATGCCCAGGGATTTGACCAGTTGTTCTTTTTTCCTGATAGGCGAGTCCGGCTTATCACGAAGTAAGCTCATTGCCCCGTTGCCCTGCAAGTGGCATTGGGTTGCGCAAACCCGAAGGGGCGCTTTATCGAATAAGAAGGCCAAACGGTTCTGGGGAGCTACTCGTTCATGCCGTGAAACTGATTTATCCTTCTGTTGGTGGAAGTCGGGTGATAGTAAAAGTGAGAGCACTGTGGCTGTCTGTTGATCATATAAATTGTATATTTGTATACCTACTTCCTTTCACTATTGTTCGATGAACCTACAACTGGTCATATTTCGCGATAGACTTTGATTACACTCTAGCTTATAACCATAGCTGTTATTCACCATCAAGTTGTTGCTGTATTCGCTGTTATCCATATTCTTTCGTTGGTTCACTCAGCCTTACCTTCGGCGAATCACACCACCACCACCACTGTGGCCACCATCTCATCCGTTGAAGATCCGACTGAAGCGGGGTCTGAAGCCGATATCTCATCTTCAACTCAATCGGCCGGGAACACGGCCGTGGTTCGTGCACCAAGCATGTGGACACGGGGTGAGATTCGCGAGTTCAAATCGAATTTGGTTGATACCAAAGATGCCATTGTCCAAATCGGTTGTGGGGAAGTGATCACTGTAAGTAGTATTGATAACTTGTCCGAAATTCGTTACGGTACTTTTTTTCCACTGTAAACACGCAATGAAGTGTACGTTTCATGAAACATTCGTAATCATGTGTCTGCGTAAACAGCAGTTCAGCAAAACCAGTTTAGTGATGCTTTTGTAATGAGGACGACTCGGTTTCGTAAAGATCTTGAACCACCAGATATTGTAATGCGAACTTACTCGGAACTAGCGAAGAGCACTGGAGTGGACGGGTGCAACAGGACACCCCAGTCTCGCCACTCAAATCGATTCGAGATTAAACCAAAGAAGGATTTATGGAACAGCTAAAGTGTGAAGCGACACGAGGCTCTCTGTGTTTGTGGGCTTATATCAAAAAGAAACCCAATCTCATGAACCTCAAAGGTTCGCTGTGATGTACACACTCACAGTCGGACATTAGTGACGCTAGTTGTCAAGCGGTACAACAAGAGCAAATTTTTATAACTAGTCGTGGGATTCTCCTTCTCCGTAACACTTTTTCACCTTTAAACCGCATTTTCATTGGCGCATGATAAAATGTTCTGTGGTAGTCTGCACGTTCTGTTCCCGGAAGCCAAAATTGAGTCACGCCTTGTGACGTCCGAACGGTCCGCTGAGTAAGTCCGAATCCATCATCGTCGGCTCTCGCATCCTGTGAGCTGGTTTCATTTTTGTGGAACATAAAATAGTCCAGTTGTGAGGCTGGTGGCACATCACTTTCGTCCAACACGTGTGTGCGTGCTACCGCGCTTGGATTTTGTGCACGCCTCATTCAGTTACTTATACTCGCTCTCACTGATTGTTTTTCATCTGTCTGTGCTTGGCTACCAAGTCATTCGGATGGGTATGATCCAGTCAGCACGCTCACTTTCCGCTTGCATTGGAAGCCGGGGATTACGGTAAACCAAACTCACTCACTGTGAGTCAATCTACACGTTCCGATGTAACCATTTGCTGCTATCAACTGGCCTTACAAATGCCTGACGGCCACGGAACGGATACAGCAGCAAAGGTAAATTAGCCCCTCGTGTTTGGATCAATGCGAGTCGATTAGCCCTTGTCCCTCCCAAAGTGGGCAAGAAATTTAAATTGGTGAAGTACGCTCAATAAACCCCAAAAAGGCATAAAAGCTTACTGAGCCCTCCAGTATACATTTATTATTAGCATAATCAAAGTAACAGTGAAAACAGTGACTAGTTTATTATACTGCTCGTCGTACCCCATTTGAAGTAGAATGAATGCTCTCACGGCAGCCAGATCTTCTCTGGGTCTGTGAGACATTGAGAATCTTTATGGAAGATATATGCCAGTTCGAATTGTTTGACGGCCAATTTTCACATACTTGGATCTAGGTAGATTGGCTGAAGCATTTAGTTGGCTAAACAGTCCATATAGGACCGCTTCAGCCACAAATCCTTGCGCGGAGTACTTTCGTTTAGCCTCGTAGCGAAGATCAAAAGTATGGTGTGTTGAGAATCACTTCATCAGTCCAAAATTTCGTTATTTTTCCAGAAAATATTTGGTAACAAACCTACAGGTTTTCAGGTACCACGATTCTTATTGATACACCAACCATTTCTGCTCACCGATTTCCTTGCCTGGGATTGTCGTTCCCAACTTTTCCCCTATCGTACGGTAGAGAATTGAAGAGACCACGGATTCGGCATCCGTGATGCAAGTAAGCGTCTGCTTTTCACACTAAACAGATGCGGGCTCTCTCTCGGGTCATGTTCGTTATCTTCTCTGTGTATCTGTGTGCTTGTTTCTCTTCTTCTGTGTGCTGACAGCGTCGATCACATTTTCATCTCTCTCTCTCTCTGTGTCTACTGGTCTGTGTACTCTTTCTCTATTGTCATATCGACCACATCGCCAATGTGAACCGTCTTAATACGCGCCGTTCACAGGTCTTGTGTCCTGTTCGCCTAAACCGGTTCGTACGTGTTTCTTGTGATTACGCGGGCCTTCGTCCCCTCGCCCCCCCCCCGCCTCACACACATATGAAACTACTAGTCAACCAGTAATTAAAATATCCGCGAGAAATTTTAAAGTATCATGTTTGGATTAGCCCATTCGGTGGTTATTCAGATGCACCAGATGTGATACTCTAAAAACGGTTGAGCCATTCACGCAATGTGATGACCATCGACCGTGTCGCTCAGGAGTAAGGCTGTGAAGTCCCAACCAGAAGGTTCGCCATTCGAGTCTTGACAGGGCTACAAAAAGTTAGCATTGCTGACGAGTGCCAAACAAGATGAAACAGCTGTCTAGTGCTCTCTGTCGGTTATCACAACCATTTCCATCAAAATTCAATATATTAAAGAGAAAATTCATTGTCGCACTTGACGTTTCGGTCAAATTATATCCCCATCGTTTTTACACATTGCAAAGGTGTCATCATTATCCCCATCATCATCGTACAACGAAATACAGGGAAGCGAACTTCACTGATCCCTGCCAAACTCGCAATGCATATACATTGGGGTTTGATGGACGGGTACTACTAGGGTGTCCAGCCACTAAGCAGGAAAAGGAATGGGGTTCTCAAGCAAAGCCTTTAGTTCTAACAAGTACCTAACCGCAAGGCAGCGGGCGAAGCAAAGTGGAGGACCATATATTTGGATCAATTATTCCTCCACCACTTTTTACCGACCTAGGCGCCAATTCTAGTCAAACCCCCAACTTGGAGGACCAAGAGATTGGACTTCGTTCGACCTTCCAGGCAGGATTAAATCTTCGGCTTGACAAAAGCCATCCTGTGTAGCTCGTTGGGTCAGAGAGGTGCACAAGCCATCACATCGTGTCGAATGTCATAATGGTTGATTCGAAGCTACTGTAATAATTCAGTACAGTTCACACAGCCAGCTCTCATTTTCATACTCCTCGCTCTTCTAGGCTTCACTTAGATAAAAGTAAATGACATATTTTGTATAAAGAAAATGTTTACTCTCATCAGTGTCAGATTGAATGTAACCTCGAAGCAACCAATGTCACCCCAGATTTTCTGGATCAATGACAACACAGTGTGACAATACGCCATCAGAAGGGTATCTCCAACCACTATTCTAAGCACTTCATTAACGAGAGAATTCATTTTTGTGTAGACTTGCGTGAACAGATGTCCGCATTTCAGTCAAAAAGTACAAATCTCATCAAAAGAAGGAAATAACGAGTAAAACATCTAACCTCTGTCGGTTAACAAGGATTCTGGTGAGATAGGGAACTGGGGAACTTCTGTAGAGGTTAATGCGAGAGGGTAATAATCGATACGTAGAATGAGAGCAGCATTTGGATAGATCGCCATGTAAAGGATGAGTGGGGTCAGAGAGAATTTTCTGTGTAAATGTTTCACATGCAGACAAGTGAAGTTCATTCAATTTTTTTAGGTAGATCAACAACGGGTATATGAGACACGACTGATGATCGACAAACCTTGACGAAGAATTTTGAATTTTTTTTAATAGACCAGCAACAATAAAAAACAGGAAAAACATTGATAACCAAAAATCAAAATGATTTTTTGCTTGGCGTTGAACTGCCCAAGTCTTCGCAGTTGAAAAGATAATCCACGAAGTTATCGGTGAGCATGAGCTTGGTTTCCTAGTAGAGAGGATAAATACTTGGAACCGGTACGTATTACCCACAAGAGACAGGATAACCGTTATCCAGCGTAATTTACGAATAACAGTCGACCGTAAAAATCAAACTGTGACACAGTCATCGTTAGCTGTTACAATCTTATACTGTCAAAACGGATCTAAAAATATACATGATGGATACTGAAACTTATCAATATAGGATTCGTGTTCAAAGTAACGTCAAAATCCACTTGAAACTTGGTGGCTCACGCCCCAAAAGTGGTTAGTTCGAACGCGGTCTATGTAGTACGTTATTTAGAATATCTCCCTATGTATGTCAGCCTAACTTCCGGTACCCTAAATAAAGGAATGACTGAACACTTGCACCTGATGAAGACACCCTGGATGTGACGAGTTGGGTGAAGCATATTTCAGGAACGGTTTTCCGTGTAATTTGCGAAATACGTCCGGCTGGCTTTAATAACTCGGATATTCCACAACAGACAGAGAGTTGGGAGTCATAGGGAACGCTCAAAAGCTGATACACGTGTGATTAACCGCGAGCCAGCGTCCACTGACCTATTCGATGAAACCTTTTTCCTCTGCTATCACAACAAATGAGATTTACGGACACAATAACCACACCCTCAACAATATCATCATGTGACCAGGTCACAAAATTCGGCCTAGAGCAGTCTCAACCATGTAATCATTAAACCATTAAACATTACCACATGTGGATCGATCGTTCACATACTCAAGAACGCATGCCCACACGAATCGTATGAGACTATTCCAAATGTGCTTTATAATTGTTTTAGACGAACCTTTTACACGGCTTGAAAGGAGTCTATTTAGAATGACCTTTGTTACTATGTGAACGGTTTCTTGTGGTGTACGGCGACAAATCTCTGAATCAACACATATCTGACGTCTAGCGATTCGCTGCAACCTCAATTGCCAAACACTCAGCGCTGCCCGCCCCGGGGTATGTTGGTTTCTCTTTTGTGCGACCATATCCAGATGGAGGATATGTCGACTGCTTGATCATTGCAGATGGTCTCGACCCCAGCCTGACTCATTGACACCCTTTCTGTATGTGTTCCTGGCTTCGCATTTGCGAGGCTAACTCACAATCAACCCCATTATGAGATGAGACAGTTCGATTTCGTCCTGCGTGTCGTGTCACTAAGTTCTGGGGTCTTAGCACTAGAATCGTGCCCATATTCCCTCATTTGTACGAGCCCAATGATTCAGAATCTCCTCGTTTTACTCTACAAGAAGTTAACTAACTTGATTTGCTGTCACGTGCTCACGTGGGCAGCATGTTTACGATTAAAAAAGATGTACAGATTTTCAGTGCATTTGCTATAGATGCAACACATTAAATCCGTTTGCTCTCCTTTTCATTTGTGTTTGTATTTACAGAACGTTTGCAGGCCAGTATTTCGAACAAAAAATGCCCACACGGAC